TATGTCAATATAATCAAAAGATTTACGCAATATATCAATATATTATGTCCTTGCTTAATATATCAATATATAATATTTGTTGTTGCTTGTCAAAAAAATTCACGCAATATATCAATATAATATGTCGTTGCTTCGTTCTTAAGAAACGACGCAATATGTCAATATAATATTTCAATTGTTGTTGCTTGTCAAAAGATTCGAGTTATGAAAGATTCACGCAATATATCAATATAGCCTAATATGTCGTTGCTTCGTTCTTAAGAAACGACGCAATATATCATGCAATATCAGTATATTGTTGCTTGTCAAAAAATCCATGCAATATATCAATATAACATGCCGTTGCTTCGTTATTAAGAAAGTCGCGCCTGTCATAGCCTGCGCGGTATAAGCAGCACAGTGGTGGCAGTCGCTTTATTTTGTTGAACAGCGGTTATGAGGATCAATTATCTTTTTCTGCGTGTGTCATAAACAGTATATACATATATATATATAATATATAATTATATATGTATACATACAATTCCATCGGCCTCGTTCTGAAAAGCCATGCAAGATAAAGCTGTGTATTATATATAGCCTATACATACAATTCTTACGTTCTCAAAAGCCATGCAGGGAAACTGCTATTAAAATGAATCAAAATGATTAACGGCTTTAATTAAGCCTTAAATAAAGCCGAAGATTAACTTTTATTATATAAAGCCGCGCGTGTCATAAACACTACAATACGATTCTCCCGTCCCGGAAAGCCAAGGAATATAAAGGAATATTAACTTACATAAATCTGCGTATTATACATACATACAATTCTCTCGATTCTCTTTATCAAAAGTAAGGACAAGTATAGCTACTAAATGTAAAGTGAATATTAAATTTATTATTTTTTATTTATTTCAGCAATTCCCCCAAATTTACAACATATAAATTAAAACTATAAATGAATATTAGCTGCGCGTGTCATAAACAGTATACATATATACATTACAATAGAGAGTAAATTAAATTAATATACGAACGTATTATTTGTATACATAAAATACACTCGTTCTCAAAAGTCAGCTGCAAGTACTAAATGAATATTAACTTAAAGCCGCGCTTGTTAATACATACATGCACTATATACATATACAATTATCTCCTTCTGAAAAGCCACACAAGTACGAAAGGAATATTAACTTATACACTATATATCACAATTCACTAATTCTCAAAAACACTGCAGTCGGTTTTTTCTATGTTGGTGTTGTGTACTCAGGTGAATATGATGTTTGTGATGTTACTCTAAGTGTATATCCACACCGGGCGAGCTTGAAAAATATGCCCGGCCACGGTGGGAATCAAACCTACGACCTTTGGAGCACCTATATACACAGACGGTTTGCACGTATATATACACGCACGTAAAACTATAAATATAGTTAAGTTAAAAATGCATACTAAAACATGGGGAACACTAAATTCTGTTGCTCTATTTATTTGGTTATTTCATAAGTAACATTTAAACAGATTTAAAGTTTTACGTGCCTGTTCGTGCGCAGGATAAGCGCAACAGTGGAAAGCAGCCTAATTAACTCTCGCAGGTTACCTAATTCCCTCTTGTTGCTTGAAGCACTTAATATTAAATATCATTCACCTAATTTAAATTCTGGACTTAAAGCAAGGAAGGACTTAAAGCAAGGAAAGAACTCAACCTTTTTTTCATAATGTTACACCTACGTTTTATCACACTCCTGCGCTGCAAACCTGTCATGGTTCCTTGATTAAGACTTCTGTATGATGATGTCATGCATTACCAACTTCTCAAGATATAAGTTGCAATATTGTTACTTTGGTTTTAGTTTCATGATTATTTTCAATAAAATCTAAATATCACAAAATCGTTCTTGTTCCTGGATTCGTTCTTGCGTTTCAAGATGTTAATCTTCTGATTATATTTTGTTTTTTATTTCTTGAAATTGTCGCCTGCTATTGTTTTTTGACTCTGTCTATGACCATGTCACCTCACATTTGACACTTCCGTTATAACACTAAGGGGGCTTTCATTTATTAGAGCATAGGGGGGGTTGGCAAAATTGTGGGGGGGGGGGGTTAAGTAGTTTTCAAATGTTCAATAGGGGGGGTTATACAATCTTTAAATATACATAGAGGGAGGGGGGTTATACAATCTTTAAATATACATCTGCAGTTAGGGGGGTGTTGCTTAAAAGTTACAAAATAACAATAGTATTTTAAAATGTTCAGTCATATTGTGAATAAATGTGTCTATTCTGGCATATTCCTGTTTTTTATTAACGCTAAAATATTTACTATGTTACAAAATATGCATATGGAGGTGCATGCAAATTGATGTTTTTTCACGCCTGTTCTGCTTCGTCGGCATCAGTCGAATCGGTATTGTTAAAGTCTGAGTCAGAAGGCCATGTTTCATTTAAATCTAGCAACTCATTTTCAGAATCACTGTCGTTTTCACTAGATGGTACCTCGTCCGCAACAACTACTCCTTCACAATATACATTCTTATTAAAGTGAGATATAATCATCTTGATCTTGTCCTCTTTTGTTCGCTTATTTAATGGGAGTTTATACGCCTTCAAGTACTTATCCAGCTCGTACACATGCAGATCGCTTAACTTTCCCTCTTCAATCAATGCTTTCCAATCATAGTCGGCGAATTTTTTTCCCCTTTTTTCCTTTGTTCTTTTCTTTCTTTCTTCGTTCCGTAAATTTGCAGCAACTGCGTTCTCTTGTATATGCTTCACAGCCTCAATTACTTGTGTCTCAGGAATTATGAACTTCTTTGAGAAAACTTCAATACTGTTGTCGCCAAGGATTAACTTCTTGTCCTTCACTAGTTTTTTAATATTTGCCCTCGGCTGCATGTCATCAGGGGATCTTGGTTTGCCATCTATTTTCATCGGAGTGTCAAACACGTCAAGATAATGAAAGTCATCTTTATTGTAATTGGGAAATGGTCTAGGAATGCGACCACAGGATGGTCCAACAAAATTGTGCTCTTTGCACCAGTCACACAACTGATTTTTCTTCTCAAGACAGCCATGCTTAACATACTCACGGTATAGCTCACCAGACTCAGTATGATCACAATCAAACTCGATAATCTTCTGCATGTAATAATAACCAGGAATTTTTTCCTTTGTATCTGCACTTTGTGTTTTATAAAACCTCTCCAGATATTCCTTGTTCCAAAAGAAAGCATCTGAAGGGCGAATAGCAACAAATCCTTTCATATATTCTCCCATACATGGAGCACCATCGACTCTTAAAGCAACCTCACGAGCCACGCACCATGCATTTTTCTTGTCTCTTAGTTCTTCACATATGTTGTAGTCCTCTAGTGTTAATCTAGGCTGGATCGATATCGCAAATACCGAATACCGATATACCGCCATCAGAATACCGGTAAATATCCGGTATTCCGGTATTTTTAACGTGTTTTTTTTTTAAGCCAAACTGAAGTGCTGACCGTCAAGAAAAATCAAGTTTTGACAAAATATTAATGTGGCACATACTGTTATTAGTGCAAATGTCACAAGATTCGCATTATCAAGCTATGTTAACAATTAACAGCGCTAAGCGGCAATTATTAGTAGGGCGTCGAAGTGTTGAATCATTCAGAAAAATATTCGTTTTGTATATAAATTCCAGTGCTGTAACAGTGACAGTTTATTTGTAACTAGTTACAGTTATAGTTACATTACCAAAAACATAACTAGTTACCAATACAAGTTACAGATGCCAAAGTGTAACTAGTTACAGTTACAAAGTTACAATATATTTTTTGTAACTTAGTTACAAAGTTACAAGTTACATTTATTGATTGCAATTAAGAACGCATACAATTCGAATGGGCCGAATGGCAATGAAACTTGCGGCAAAATTATTGGCAAAATTAATAACTTAGTATTTACTAGATGTAGCCTATCTGCATGTATCTGTAAAATTCCACCAAATCGATTTTTTAATAGAATTGTCAATTAAAAAAACTCTGCTATTATACAGTCTGAACGAATACATTGAAAGAAATAGAATATCCCTCACTGGCTAGTGGCTTCTGACTTCGCAATGAAAAAAGCAGAAACGTGAATACGTGATCATGACTGGGTCAAGGCCAAGTGAAATGAGCCTGTGATCACGACCAAATACGTCATAATTGGTCTTTGGCCTTGGCCCATGCAGTCATGATCAAATACGTGATCATGACTGGGCCAAGGCCAAAGATCAATTATGACGAGGCCATGGCCCAAGTAAAGGCGAGCGACGGCATTTCGATCAGTTTCAACTGTACGTAAAATTTGCCGGCAATCCTTGACTTAAATTTGTGTCTTGAATGGATTCTGTTGTGTCAGATTAAATTACTCCTGTGCAGATGATTAAGATTCATTTTAAAAACGTACACAAATAGCTACGAACAAAATGTAACTTGTAACTTTGGCAAAATAATTTGTAATCGTTTCAATTTTATGGCATTTTTTGTAACTAGTTACCGTTACAGTTACATGTTCTCAAAATGTAACAAGTTACCGTTACCGTTACTGAAAAATGTAACGATTACTTGTAACTAGTTACTTTTAACGAAGTTACTTACAGCACTGATAAATTCAGATAGTGTTTCAGTAAGCTGCCAATAGTTATAAACATAAAAAACGTTGCATTTTTAAAACTAACACATAAACAAATTAGCATGTCAGTTAAATAAGATTAAAAACAACAAAAAGTTACTTTCTTATACTGCCCGATAAAAAAAAACACTTGAAAAGGCAGAAAAGGTTTTCATGCATGTCATGCATCTGTGGGTATTAACTTTGCTTTCTAAACGTGATTGTAAGCAAGTTTAACTTGAAATAGCATTTCATTTCGGTATTAGGCAGCAAAATACCGAAATGTCGGTATATCGGTATTGTTAAATTGCCAATATCGCCAAACCGGTATCTAAACAAATACCGGTATATCGGATATATCCGGTATATCGATCCAGCCTATGTTAATCCCGCGATTTCTTCACTTGTCAAATTTTCAAATCTCTTGTGTTTCTCCCACTCAATTGTGCTACCATCACAAACAGCATTACTGACACCAGAGTTGGTTTGTTCGGCTTCATTTTGACCAGAATCTCCTCTTGAGCCATGCAAAATTATTCGCATGTCTGCATTTGAAATTCTTGCCACTTCTGCCATTCTAAACTGAACCTCGTGGTTTCCACAACCAACACCTGGACCACTATCAGCACGAATACACTGTCTGGATTTCATCACAGGAAGTTCAAGCTCCTCAATCTGTGTCACTACTTTCTGTAAAGACTTAACGAGTCTTTTGTGGTCACCTTGCACTGAATGATAGCTTACAGTTTTGCTTTTTGCAAGGTTTGTATGAAGTGTAACACATTTTTTCACAACATCACGTACTCTTAGAGTATCTGAGAGTGTTTTCATCTCCATTTCTCTCTTCTCTGGCAGATTTTCGTATTGTTCCAATGCCAGCTCTACCCTGCGCTTTAAATGGGCTACTCTCTTTTCTTCGTAGATGGTGTATTCTTCGTTGTCGCCACTTCTTTTGAAATCTTCAGCTACATTTGTGTCTAAGTAATAGAAACAATCATCTCTTAACCTTTTACACAGCGTGGTGAATTCAGAAGAGTATTTGCTGTCACTTGCATGGTAGATATCGGTGGTATGCCTCAATTCCATTTCCTCGTTTGCCCACGTATTACCCGATGAATCAACATAATGCTTTGGTCTGCAAAATACATAATGCTCATCAGAGTCAATAACCAACTTTTCCTTTTCATCAACTGTGACGCTTTTCATCGTAAACATTCTGTGAGCCCCTGGTGCACAGTACATCTTTGACTCGGGAAAATCGTATTTTGGTAAAACCTGCGCGTTTTCCTTCGCAACCGGGGTCAAAATCTTTTGCGTCCGTGACCCTTCGAATCCAACAGAAGTTCCTGGACGAAGAAAGGCATGGTCATCTCGGCTTTCAATAATCGCAAACTTTTGAGCATTTTCTGGGACTTTTGAAGAGAAGAGAAATCTTTTCATATTTTTTATATGAAAACGTTGATGGTGGGTGTTTTCGTTGTCCAAATCCTCTGCTTTTGGGGGCTTTTTGCAGCTCCACAGACCCTTTCCTACATGTCTTGAAGCCTGGATGGTTCCAAGCCGTCTTGGTTTTGACCGATTCCATATTGCAGTGGTACTCCGTAGAGGGGCTTTGCCTTTGTCTGCTCTCCGTTTATTAAGTATTTTAAGCAGGTTTTTGCACTTTACTCTTCTATTAATGAACATTGTTGTCTCCTTCCTTCGATCATGATATGTGGCTTTTGATTCAATACATCTTGCTACAAAGGTCTCTTCATCTTCATCTATGGCATTAGGCCTCCCTTGCCCCAGCTTTCTCCTTTTAATTCGCTTCTTCTCATTTATATTCTTTGCTTCTCTAATAACTTTTAACTTAAAGCTAGTTGAATCAGGGCTTTTAAGTTCGTCTTCCAACTTTGCTTTATGGTTTTGGAGATCTTCAATCTCATCTTCAAGCTCGTCAAGAACAGTTTGATCCCAAGTGCGTTTTCGTTTATTGACTTGATTCTGTCGTTCTTCTACTTTCTCTTGAATGCACTTTGTTTTCTCTTTTAGCTTTTGCTCTACCTTAGTTTGGGCTTCAACAACTGCACTTTCACATTCTTCTATAATCTTTAAATTCTTATCTGTTTGTCGTACAACCTTTTGTGGGTCAACACCCGCCTTTCTCATTTGTGAATGGGACATATTCACAGAAAAGATCCATTTTGCAATGTTGCGATCGTACTCTGTGTCCATAGTTCGTGTAATCTGTTTCAGAGTGTTCTTGCCTAAATGGAATCTTTCCTGTTGGTTATCCTTGCTTTGTTCCTGAAGTTGTTTACTATGAATCAGTAAACCTGGTAAATCTACTATGTTCTTAAGAACTATGTATCTAACATTTACTATCTTGACAATGTTCACTGAAAGTCCGATCTGTTCATCCAGGATGTCAAGAGTGAATCTACTTTCATCAACTTGTTCAAATAATATTTGCGAAGAGTATAATTGAAAGGCATCCTTAAATGTCAAGAAACCTATAACAGCAAATCGAGTTTCTTTGTCTGCTTCCAAGTAATCTGGGAAGTTTCCTCTTGGCATCAGGAGATGATTAAGTACGTCCCTCAATCCCAGCAATCTTTGTAGTTTATATTCAGGTCGCGTACTTCTTTCTTTCCTTGTCCACTCATATTCAAACGAATTTAGCCTTTCCAGGTTTACAAAAGGATCATTGCAAGGACAGAGAGATACTTTTATTTCAGGATCGTCTGGATGGGTAGAATATTTCCTTGTCTCTGACCTTCCGAGCTTGTGACCTATTGTTTGTACGCTGTTTGCCATTTTTAATATATCCAAATTTTAATTGTTTTCAAAGTGTAAAATATTAAAAAACTTTAATGCTCCCAATCAAGTCACGTGTACACACGAAAAATTCCTCGGTGAAGGAAATCTTGGCATTCTGAGATATGGGATAGAAATTAAGTTTGATTATATTCGTATCGTATTCTTCGCGCACAGAAGGTTTATAATAGGGTTGGGATTAGGATCAAAATGAAGGAAAAATACATAGTCATGCACGAACGATATTAACAACCAAGGATTTTGCCCGAAATTCTGAAAGACATTTTTCGATAAAAAGGAAATTTTTACCAAATGAGGAAGGAATTTTACTTCTTTGTGCTCATATAATGAATATTCAATGAGAATTCTGTTCCGCCTGAGCAAATAGAATTTTTGAAGTGGTTGGAAGATAACAGGTTTTCCCAGTTTCGTTGGCGGACAATGAGAATTCTGTTCCGCCTGAGCAAATAGAATTTTTGAAGTGGTTGGAAGATAACAGGTTTTCCCAGTTTCGTGAAAATTTCTGTAGGAACAAAATCAACACACCGCAGAGGCTTTGCTTACTGAAATCTGAGGAGCAGCTTGCTCGAATTGGGATTGACAGCTTTGGTGACCAACTCGATTTACTAGATTGTATTTCCAAACTGAGAGCGTTACAAAATGCTACGGAAGCAGTAGGACAGGGGCTGCCAAAATCAAACCCAGCAAAACAAAAGCAATCTACCCTCAACTTTGGTCAGACTTCCAAACCGAAAACAACACCGGACACAAAGGTGAGAAAACCCTATGACGAGTACATGTACAGGAATCCAAAGTGGCCAAAAACAAAGTTTTTTAACGAAATCACTCCAAAACTTTATGACAATTACGGAAAATTTTTGTCTGCACATCAACAGGCTAGCTATATAAGAAAAGAACGAGAAGCCAGGTGGCAACGACTACAAACTTTCCAGAAGTTTTCAGGCAAGTTTAATGCTATGTTCAATTCTGAATACTCAGGTGGTTATTTCAATTTTCTTGACAAACCAGCTATTCCTCGTCTGACCCATGTAGATCACTGTGAAAAGGGAATTTGTAATACAAAACGTTTGAAAGATGAAATTGAAAAGGAAATAACAGAGAGCAAAGGCTTACTTGGCAACTGTTTTGGTTCTGATATGAAGGCCAAAAAAAATATGAACGAACAAATTTCCAATTATCAAAGCCATTTGCAGAACCTCAGGTTGCTAGATGAGAAAGTGGGAGTGAATTTGCAAAAACTGGAGGCCACTTTGGCACATTTGAGGAAAGTCTTTGTGCTTACAGTGCAAAGTAGGTCGAAATCAACTAACAGTAGAAAGAAAAAGGAGGGCAAACACAAGGCCAGAGTTGCAAAACACAAAAGAGCAGTGAAAAGTGCCAAACAAATTCGACAACATGTGAAAATATCTGATTCTTTGCAGTGGACCAATAATGATATCAACAGTATCGAATTGAATAAATTAAAAATAAAACATCACTTGCATGGACTGAAATACATTTTAGAAAATGATGATTTGGATCAAGGGGCAAGAAATGTTTTGAGACAAAAACTAGAGGAGTGGCTCTGTGACTATACTGGGGCTGTCATCTCTGATGATGATGATGACGATGACGATGACGATGATGACGACGATGATGATGATGACGACGATGTAAATGACATCTATGATGATGATGACGATGTAAATGACATCTGAAGTGACATATCTGATGATGATGATGATGACGATGATGACGATGATGACGATGATGATGATGACGACGATGTAAATGACATCTGAAGTGACATATCTCATTGATTTTATTATTAAATAGTATGAAACCAATGCTACATTGCATGTTTATTAAAGTTCAGATTTAAATTTAACAATCCATGTTTTAATATATTTCATTTTAAAAGTTTTAAATATGTTGTATATATAAAATAGTAGTTCAAAGTTCATGCTATTTGAAAAGTTCACGGTGTTTCTTATTTCAAGTTGGGGGGGGGGAGGTGGAGTTGTTAATAAAAGTTTAGATATGGTATGGGGGGGGGTTACTCAATTTTGACATAGAATGGAGGGGGGGGGGGTTGCAAAAAATTACAAATCTACCTTTAAATTTTGCCAACCCCCCCTATGCTCTAATAAATGAAAGCCCCCTTAGTTTCCCATCCGGCTCTTATTTCAAATTACACGCGGGTGGGCGGTCCATTTCCACTATTTATTATGGTGTCTGAAAGATGACACACGACCCATTATTTCATGAAATAGATACGCGTTTTAAATATCCATTCAGCCACGTTTCTACACAATGTTTTAGAGTTTATTATGCAGAAATGAAAGCCAGGACATTAACCCTATCGCTTTTGACTTTCAAAAATCAAAACTTGTAACGGAAGTGTGTAGCTCAGCAGTTCGTAGTGAAAACAGAAAAAAATTCACGCTCTTTGATAAAAGTTTCAAGAATTTTATTTCGATTTTTACGTGTTGTACATAAATACGTATGTCTTGAACGATAGATTATTTGAAAACTGTGGTTTTTCGTAATTGTTTGTCACAAAAGTCAAATAATGGAAACAACTTCGCAATAATGGACAAATCATGTGGCCAGTTCTAGGAGACGCGGGCGGAGGACGGGAAACTAAAGTCTAATTTGGAGTGGCCTAAACGCAGAAGAAATGCAGGAAATTAAATTTCTTCCACAAGCTGTCACCCACAATGTTAAATGGAACATGAACATATATTTAATATAAAATTACTTACACAAAACTGATTGCTTCTCATACTAAATGACAATGTTTCTTCCTGCCAACCCATGCTGCGGGCTCAGATGTGGACAGTACTTGATGCAACTATGCATTTGCAATATGCAGTCTCACAATCTCGGAAGAGGTTATTTCACTGGCCTCAGAGTGACAAAACGTAACAAAGCAACGGTTTTACTAACACTAACCCTATTCCAAACACTAACTCTAACCCCTAGCCCTAATCCTTACCCTAAGCCTAAATTAACCCTACTTCAAGTTTGTTTCTAAACCAATCTTGAAGAAAGTTTTTTTGATGAAATGTCATTTTGAGGTCAGCAAAATAACTTTTTCCCACAATCTCCTGTCTCTTTCTTTATAACAAAACTAAACTTAACTGTTAGATATCCATGCAAAATTTAAATTTGTCCACATTTTAGTGTGTCGATTAATGTTTGAGTGTTCACGCCCTGTTTGGTAAAAACATCAGCGAGTTGACTCTTCATATCAACCAAATACCAAATTGACTGTTATCTCCTTGAGTTTAATGTTCTCTCTCTCAGAGCAGCAATGTCTACTCGCAATGTTTTATCGCAATGTCTTCTCTTCCATAGCTTTAGTTGAATGCACTGCTTCTGTAAGTGACATACAGTACAGTATTGTCAGTGTATATCTCAGTTGTTTGCAACTGCTTATCCTTCAGTTCATCCAATAAATGAGACAGCCACACTGTCGTGTCCACTGCATCCAACGGTGACATCGTTTCTGCTGCAATTGTGCTTCTGCAAACTCTCCTCAACTTTTTGGATATCCAAGTTGATTGGTGAAGCTCTTCTTTCCCTGTCCACAGGAAATATGATCATACCTCCTTGGCTTGAGATTATAGCATATGATGCATCACAATACACTACCAACTTCCATGGCTGTTTTAATCCCACATACTTTAGTGAAAATCTATTTTGTTTCACCTTTCGTAAAACTTTGTTGGCTTGTAAATGCCTGTTCGTCTTCATTTAATACTCGGGACTTGTCAGTCTTGTTCTGAATTTCAACTTCTTCCATACTGTCAATGTATGAGTCTTGATTGAAAAAGATGTCACGATCTGATTCATCAATCTGATTCATCATCATCCCATTCATAGACACTGTTTCTTCAGAACCCACAGTAAAAATTGTTTTAATATTCTGTATCAGATTCTCAAACTTGGTTGAACCACCATATAGAAAATCATCAACATGAATTGCAAGAACTCCCTCACATCTCCCTTCGTGTCTCCAATAAAGCAATGCTTCGTCATACTTTGACTTTACCAATCCAAGCTTGCCAAGTTAATCTGTTACACCGTTGTACCAATATTGTGAAGCTTCGTTTAATTAACCCATAAACACACTTCTTTAATTTCCAGAGACCACTTGTTTTAGCTTCACTTTTGGAGACTTGATGTAAACATCTCTTTCAAGTGATTTCCCCTGCAGAAAGGCAGTTTTACATCCATCATGTTACATTTCCATTTCTTTGATGCAATTAAATCGACAAAATTAACTATATTATATCCACTATTATCTTCACTGCTCATCACAGGGTTAAAGTCCACATCGTCAATGTGAATCAAACGACTAATATGCACTCGGATATATTCATTTCCATGTTTTACTAAAAGTTGTTTATTCTCTTGTCCTATCACAGACCCTGCACCTTTCCATTTATCATTGTTATTACGTTTGTAATATACTTTAACATGCACCATTCTGAAATCTTGCATCATTAAAGCTTCGAACTTTACTTTTTAACGCTCTCTTGATCTTCTCGGATGATTCACTTTGAATAAACGCTTCTCTGGCAGATCTCGTTGCAGCTAAATTACGCTCGACCATGATGCTAGATAATAATAACTTCTTCTAATGCTGGTACTGTAATTTGTCATCCAACACACCTGGCATGTTCGGATTTCTACCAAAGACAATCATATTTCGACTATAATCATTATGACCATGAAGAGTATTCTTTGCACTAACTGCCCACGATACTGCTGTTCACTGGGAAAAAATGCCTTAGACATTAATAGGAGTATATCCGCATCAATTACGTCAGTTTCTAAATTAACTTTCTTAGAAGTTAGATCCAATGACTGCTGGTATTATTACTTTCTTTTCAGACCTAAATGCAGCGGTGGATGGTTTTTCCTTGATAATATCTTCATCAATCAGACTGACCGTGTAACAATCCAGCCACTTTCTACCACACACTGTTTGTGTGCGCTGTCGCACAGAATCAAGAACTGCACAACTAAAATTTCTCCTACAAATACCTTCATCTCATGTACATCATGATTAGGCGATTGAAATAAGTTTGGAGTTTGAGTTTTCTTGTCAGGATCTAAACCTTGATTTTCATTTGCATCAGGACAATTTCGTGCCCAGTGGAATTTGCTTTCACAAATGTTGCATCTCGGAATATTTCCATAATGATCAACAAGGTTTAGCTTTCTTTGACTTTGCCTGCTTGAAGTTTCGCCGTAATCTTTGCGTTGCATACCATTGTCATCCCGATTTCCCCTTGATGCTCTGTATGGTAATCGTCTCCTTGGATTATATCCCCTTCTCTGGTAAGGCTGTCTCGCGATGACCTGTCATTTTCCTCTCGCACCTGTCCGGAAACACCACCATAGAATACTGTTTCCTTTTTCACTCCGTCCTCAGATTTAGTAAAGCTTGGTGATGCTGAATCACCATATATTCTAACCAGTTGATTCACCATCGCATCATATTTCAACTCAGTCGGATTGTTGCTCGGGATAATTTTATTTCTTCTTGGTTTAAATTCGCAGAATTTAATACTCGGTATGCCAATACGCCATCAGGTAGTATATGGGGGTCTTTGGGTGTCAGTTGTCAGCTAAAATTTAAGCCAGTTGTCAGTGCGATATATTGCAAGCTGTAAGTAGTCAGTTACTGCAAAATGCTGACTCATCATTTTTTCATCATTTCTCAGTTGTCAGTTAGAATATTTTGTCAGTTGTCAGTCAAAAATTCAGAAAAATGTAGTAGTCAGTTAACCCCATTCAGACCCTCCTATATGGTTGATGGGGAACATAATTAAGTGAAAATCAACATATATGTACATTGCATCCTATATATTATATATTAGTCAAAGTTGTTGCATGTACGAATAATGAATTAGAAAACAATTGCATGCATGATGAATCTGGAATTAAAGAATATTAATATCTTCTAATGAAAAAGAGTGCATTAATGAAATATTGCAAATCAATTATTGTGGGGCGAAAGTTTAATGTATACTTTTTAACGTATAATGCAAGGAGAAATTAATCAGAATCATTTTGCTTGATTAAGGTCAGGAACGAAATATGTCCGCCTCATTTAAGTTTGTCTCTAGACCTCCGCTTGATTGTTGGGATTTTTCTGCGCGGATAATCTTTAATTAAAAACGACTTCAATTTTTAATTAAGATACGTGTATTTATAAAGTGTAATGATTTACTCTTCTATGACATTAAAAGATAAAAACATTGAGAGATAGAGGTCTACATAAATATTACCAGAATTTAAAATCATCCCCTAAAGTTCACTCAATTACCAGCGTTCACTGTAATCTCGTCGTTCGTGGAACATGAATTTATCTGACCCAAAAGCACATTCAAATTTTCAATTCAAATACTTACCTCTGCACATTATTGGTCTATGTGGAGTGATTCTTCATGTACTACTTTTGATCGCGTTCATCAAAGATCCACTCAAATGCTTTAGAAATTCTGCAACATATCTTGTCGCTAACCTCGCTGTTTCTGATCTCATGATGTCTTTATGTGGACCATATCTCACTTGGGTCGTACATTGGAGTTTGGAAACCATAATAGACATATCATTTGGTTTATCCGTGATAACGATCATTTCAATCGCTGCAGATCGATGGCTGATGGTCACTTACCCATTCAAACATCGTTACCTGATGAACGGAAAGAGAATTATCATATGGATAACATTGAATTGGATTCTATCTTTAGTTCGTGGTGTTCTACCGGACACTGCGTTTGCTGGAGAGAATGTTTACAAATTTTCCATCGATACTTATCTTGGAGTAGCCATTGTTTTAGTGACGTGTTTCTTATATGTATTGACATCTATCTCGTTGCGAAAACAAACTAGAAATTTAGCTCTGCATGATGCAAGTGGTTCAAACCGTAGTCAAGCGGCACGCCTGTTAAAAGAAAAGCAATTTGTGAGGACAATACTTTTGGTTGCATGTATTGCAGTCGTTGGTATTGTGCCATATACGGTTGCAGAGCATGTTCTAACAATTAAGAAAATGCGTCATGATGAAACACTAGCCTTAGAGATATTGTGGTGTTCCCTAATCACATTGTTCTCTTTCACATTTGCCAGTAATCCTTTAATATATTTCTTGCGTTTGCCAAGATATCGGAAAACATTTTATTTACTATATTGGATACGCGCGTCCAATTGAGACTGGAGTTTTTCTGCCGTAAGGCAAAGATGGCATTCAATTACTGGTTATAGTCATGCTTGAAATTCAGATGTCGTGCACATAACGGCGGAAGACATACATGTGGTATAATATAGTGTCAGCTAGACCTATGTAGAATTTTAAAAATTGATGAAAATCAACGGCAGTTGATAAATATCGATTGACAACCGAACAGGGTTTTGTGACTGTTGGTATACTAATGGAACTCTTATATGTGGGCGCATCTAAAACAGGGAGTGCAAATTGATATGGAACATTCACTCAGACTTCTGGCTTTGGCGAATAATTGTTAAATATGTGCGTTAATTAATAATACCTTTAAGTTATTACTCGAACTCAGCTTGAGTTAAGGCGGTTTTCCAGTCCTCGCACGAAGCTCGTCGCAGCTCGTTGCGAGTGCTTGCATCTAATTAAAATTAACGGTTTAGCATTGTGATTGGATGAAAGTGCTCATGCATCACTCGCAGCGAGCTGCGAGGAGCTTCGTGCGAGGACTGGAAATCCGCCTTTATAGTTTCGGTCGGGTTTTTTTTTTCGCGCAAGACTTAGTCTCCCAAGCGGCCACTCTTAATTCTGACCAATCGAAACAAATCGTAGCCTACGGTGTAGACCCCAGCAGAAACACGTTTCGTGAGGGGTCTACACCATAGGCTAAACAAATCGTTGACGCATGTGACTATTTGTGATTATCGTATTGGCGTTCAATGGCTCGTTCGACTCCCTGCTCGTCGTGCGCCATGGCGTTCATTGCTCATTCGACTTCCTGCTCTCGTGCTATAAACTTTGTTTACTCTATCATATGGCTTTGCATGAGGACTGTACTCGGCACTCGTATAATAATAGTGCATTTTAATATGTGTGCTCGATCAAGTATTTGTGACTGTATGCTCTTTACGTGCACTCGATCAAAAATAAACGGCTGTACGCTTTCTAAGCGTGCTCCATCAAAAGTAAACAGCTGTACGCTTATTTTGTGCATGTGTTCGCTCTAGTTTATATTCGAAATATCCATCCTTGGATTGTCTATGATCTAAACAGTATCAATCTTAATTCCATCGGAATCAAAATACTAGTCTACATGCGACAGCCGCGGGTAGTTTATATTCAAAATATCCATCACATGTATCTAACAGTATCAAACTTTAATAATTCCATCGGCATCGGCAGCCGAGCAGTGTGCCCGCGGCAGTCAGGAAATTTAGTCCTAAACTGTTAAAAATATTCCGGCTCTTAAAAAAATTAAACGCACCCCACACACACAACCCCAACTCCTACTCCTTAGAAGACCTAACCTTAAAATCAGACTCAAAAGAAGTTGAAAAAAAATTTAATTTGAAAATAAAACTATGGCATACGGGATTCGAACCGCCGCAAGAACCACGCATCGAAAGCGGCGCTTAAACCACTGCGCCACAAAGTGGCTCGCTCGATTTATTGGTAAATAATGTACTTTAAACGAGTAAGATGTAAAATTTGATATGAATCATTGATGTGAATACGCCGAATGCGATATTTTTCAAATCCTTTAGCTCGAGTAAACGCTTAGCAAGCGTCTTGTTCGTACTTATTTTCGCGATTGTAAAAAAATCGCGAAATTAAAGTCACGCGAATAAAAAACCTCGCGAATTTTACACACTTGAAATAAATACCCTAGTCAAAAATTTGAATCATAAAATTGTTGATAAATATAAACATGTATACGGCTGTTATGTCGACATAAAGAACAAATTATTGAATAATAGTCTTCTAGTATTAAGCTACAGTTTGCATTTTGTCTTGTTAAATGTTATTCCAAAAGCTTTCGCGAAATTTAATGCCCTTTTTTAGTGTGAAGTTTCTTCGAAACTTCACAGTATTGTGATGACTGGGAGGAAATTCAAACTTATCAGTCAGTCAGTCAGTCATTCAGTCAGTCAGTCATTCAGTCAGTCAGTCATACAGTAAACTTTCCGGGGGGTGTATACGATTTATGTTCGTAGTGATTTATTGTGCTTTGTCAGTACTTTGAAGGTTATTTAAGCAATTTCAGTTAACTTATTTACATATTCTGTTATCCTTTTGCCAAGTGAACAAAAATTTCGAGGAATCGCTTTTGTTATTGTATTTTTTTGTAAATTTTAGAACATTCGCTTCTCATGTTGTGTAAAGGATCTTTACCCCGGAACACCCGATTTTTTTTTAGTAGCGCAAATGCGCATGCGCTATCAAGCCGTAGATCACGATGGCGTGACGATATGCTAGGAAGGAGTGACAGTGTTGTTTTCAGATGTATAAACATTTCAGACGTGAATATCGAGTAAATTTTTGAAAATCTACGCAATATATAAATTGATCTTATGCATTACGGGCGTTCAATTAAGTGTCGATAATATTTAGACGGTATATTCATTATACAGAGCTAGGAAGGAGCTAGACCGCCTAGACAGTGCAGTCAACACTCAAGTGTATAAACATTTCAGACGTATTAAATATTGAGTCGAAAATCTTTGAGATTCTAGGCATACAATTGAGTGCTGATATTATTTTCACGGTATACTCATTATACGGAGGTACAGTACGTACGAAGAAGCGAGACAGTGTTGTTTTCAAGTATATAAACATTTCAGACATGAATATTGAGAAAATCTTTGAGATTCTACGCAATAATATAATATATAAATTGATGTTATAATTACCGGCATTCAATTAAGTGCCAATCGATATTATTTAGACCGTGTATTCATTATACATTGTCATTGACTGTATAAGGTGCTACATCACAGAACTCAGTACAAAGAGCGAAAAATTACATCAGATCAATAAAGCGTAAACAGGGACGCCGGAAGATCGATAATTGGGGGGGGGGCAGATATTCATATATTC